GTAAGTAAAACATTAAATATGATTTATATACTGTTTTACTTACTCTACCATTTTACTTATAATTAGNTAAATTTTGAATAAACCTACAATCTTACTCAAATTTTTCACCGCAGTATCAAAAACGTTACTTTAATATTTGCATTAATAATAATAAAGTTATCACAAATGCCACCAGTTTGTTATTTTCTCTTCAACTAATTCACAACTTACATTATTATTAAAAATTCAATAATGATGATATTAATAATCTTTCTCTTATTTAGTTCCTTTTTAATAACATTTATCCACATTAAAATAAGTTCATGATCCATATTTGTAAAAAACTTTAAATTTAAATTTAGACAAAAAAATCAAGTTTTGATTTAAATAATTCTGCCTTTATTATCTTACTTTAAACATTTTAAACAAAACTGATGATTAGTAACTACAATTATATTCATAACTAAAATACCCTTAAATTTCTTTAGTATTAAAAAAGTAGTTTTTAAATAAATTTACAATTTATTACTTAAATCGAACATAGCACTCTAATTTTTATAATTAATTTTACTACTAATATATTAAATTTAGTATAAATATATAATGAACAAATGACTATATTTAACGAATCATAAAGATATTGGAATTCTCTACTTTATGGTTGCCATATGAGCTGGTATGATCGAGTTATTAATAAAAATAATTATTTGAATTAAACTTGGATCATGCGGCGCAAACTTTAACAATGATCATCTTTAAAATTTTATTGGAACAGAACACGCATTTAATATAATTTTTTTTCATAGGTGTGCCAGGTTTAATTAGAAGATATTGTAATTTCGTTGTCCTTGTAACACTTGGGTCAGCAGACATAGCTTATTCACGAATAAATAACATAGGATTTTGACTTCCATTACCGTTTATTATACTTCTTACTTTAAAAAGATTTATTAGCTCCGGTTGGAACTGGTTGAACAGTATANCCTCTTCTCTCCTCAAATATAAATGTCCACAGAGGTTCATCAATAAATTTAACAATATTTCTCTACATAGTGCAAGAATTTCTTCAATTATGGGAGCTATTACTTTATCTCTACAATTATTAATATAATTCAAAACATTATTCTGTAGACAAAACTCCTTTAATAGTCTGATTTATCTTAATTACAGCTATTCTGCTTGTTTTAACACTAACTGTTCTAGCTGGTGCAATTACCACGCTCTCAACAGATCAATAATAACGTATTAGTTTGGAAACTTCGAAGCCTTAAAAGAATTTTTAATTGTCTAAAATAAATATAACTCTCACTTTTTTATGATCTTTGTAAATATATTTGTAATTATATTTACCATAAGATGATTAACTGGTTTTATACTATCAAATTCATCACTTGATATTGTATTACATGATACATACTACCTTGTAATCCGTTTCTA